TCTGACATTACTGGGTTTACATATCCCTTTCTAAATAGCTCCTACTCATCTCGAGGCCAACTAGTCTCTCTAATCCAAGTGCTGATGTCATAGCCAATGGAAGAATTTTTTTTCTTAATCTCTGCATATCATTAATGTTATCAAATTTAATTATATTTTCATTAAACCTGTTCTAAGAGACATGCAGTTTCTCCAATATGCTACTCCCAGCTCTGTCAACAGCAGATTTCATTAGCATGCTTGTGTTCTTGATGACACTACTGTAATGAAAACATGAAGGATGATAGGAGTATTGATGAATCATGCAGAACACTTTCCTTCAGTCTGACACTTCCCATATAAAACACCCCTCTGTCATTGTGTCCTGATCCACATACTCTTCTGCTTCCACAGCTCCCTTCTGGACAGCATCAGGTATTATTGATCCCAAATAGATTACATCTACTACATTTCCTTTCTTGAAGAAAAAGGGAAACAGAGAAAGATATCCTGCAGAAGTGACATCTCATGTAATTACATACTTAATTTTTATTCTATTTATTCTTGTATCTTTAATTATGATTTCCTTCACAATTTGTTTAGATCACTGTAATTTATTTCCCTCCCTTTCTTCATTGCAAGTATTCCAGAATGACTTGAGTGCTAGAGTGAAACTCTGCTCCCTTCACCTCATCTCCACACACTTGGCCTGTTTGCACTCTGGACAAGATCATTTGTTCACCCTTACTGCAGTAATTAGCCATGACTTTTCCTCCATTACTCATCTTCCTTCTACATCCATCTTCTGCATCCATATTTACTAAAATAGAAGCAAAATGCTTCTTGGTTTTCCAAATATTGTCAAAACTTTCTTGGGAGAGGGATCCTCTTCAATTTCACCTTTAGGCTTTCCATTTCCAATGACCCTAGTTACCAAGATGCCCGGTAATCTTCCATGAAACCCCTTCCCTTTGCTCAAGGTTAGTATGTCCAGGTCATTTCTGCTGCACTGGCATAGAGAAATCCAGTCTTTCCTTTGTATTCAAGTCCTTGAGTCCTTCAGCCTTGTTGATTTTTTTTTTTTTTCTAATTGTGTCTCTTACTCTTTTTCCTTTTGACTTAGAATACCTTTCTATAAATGTTTTACCCATCTATTTATTTTAAACTGCACCTCGGAAACAATTTTCCCCCCCTTCGACTTCGGTAACCTTACAATACACTCACTACTCACAAAGCTAATCCACCATCACCTCTGGTGTTGGCCTGTGGCCGACAAGGAGAGCAGTTCCTCCATGGGACCCAGCACTGCCTCAAGCATGGTTCTTAGAGTCTGTTCCCACCTCTCACGGCAAGGCAAGGCAAGGCAAGGCACGGCAAGGCAAGGCAAGGCAAGGCAAGGCACAGCAAGGCAAGGCAAGGCAAGGCAAGGCAAGGAGAAGCAAGGCAAGGCAAGGCAAGGCAAGGCACGGCAAGGCAAGGCAAGGCAAGGAGAAGCAAGGCAAGGCAAGGCAAGGCAAGGCAAGGCACGGCATTCAGGAGTGGATGGCGAGAGGTGTGGGGCGGCAGGTGCAACCCTGCCTGACACCCACAGGACCGATGTAGCCGCCAGCCTGGGAACCAAGGCAGGGGGCTGAGCCTTTACGGACGCCGCGCCTTTYCCTCAGCCTGGCGGGATTTTGGGAGAAGACGGCGGCGCGGAGATCTTCGGAAACTCGATCGGTCTCCGTTACGGGGCTGCGGGTATCTGACCCCTGARGAGCGGGAAGACGATACACACTCCTCATTTCTGACAGCCTTCCCCACCCAGCCCTCCCGAGGCGCCGCGCCCCCCGCAGCCGCTCACGCTGCCCGGCAGGGGCGGGGCGCGGCTCGGGGCGCGGCTCGGGGCGGGTTTCGGGGCGCGTTTCGGGGCGGGGCGGGGCGGTGTTCGGGCGCTCTGAGTGGCCGCCGGAGCCCGGGGCGGGACGCGGGGGCGAGAAAAGGGCCGGGGGCGCGGTGGCGGCAGCGACAGCGGCGGGCGCGGGTCGCGGAGTGGGATGCGCCTGACGCAGAGCATGTGCACCATCGCCGAGTGCGCGCCCGGCGGCGACAGCCCCGCCACCGCCCGGCCCCGCCTCGTCAAGATCGCGGTGGTGGGGGGCAGCGGCGTGGGCAAGACAGGTGAGGGGGGCAGCGGCCGGGCGAGGGGGGCGCGGGGGCGGCGGAGCGCGGCTAATGGTGCCTGTCTGTGCCTGCCCGCAGCGCTCGTGGTGCGGTTCCTCACCCGGCGGTTCATCGGGGACTATGAGCGGAACGCAGGTAGGCGAGCGGCGGCGCGGCTTTGTTCCCGCCGGGATGGAGGGCGGGCAGGGGGTACAGCGTGGGGGGAGAGTGCGGCCCCGGCTGCTTTGCGGTGCCTGCCCTGGCCGGTGGGTGCGGGGTGCAAGCCCTGAGAGTGTGCGGACCCCAGCGTTGAGCCGAGACGCAGGTGGGAAGGGAAGAGCTCAYTCCCCCGGGACTGCGGGGCGCTCGGCAGGTGCTGTGACCGGCCCCAATCCCCAGGGTTCCGCGGCTGCTGGCGCTCTGAGAACCGCTTCCCTCTCCGCTCTGCTCGCAGCCCTCGGAAAGGGGCATGCCAGCACAGCCACATGCGATTTGTGATCGCAGCAGCTCTAGAGATGGRTTGTGTTGCAAGTCCCTAACAGAATTCGCTTCATGTAGTGAAAGTGCTCCCTTTTTGAAGGAGTCTTAGCTAAAACGGGAAAACATTCTGTAAATCTACTGTTGTATTGTTCTTTGCAAACTGAGTGCCAGCAGCTGCACGGGCTAGGCAGGGCCAGCCTGAAGAAGAAAATGGAAAAGTGATGTCACATACCTCATTCAGTGAGTATAGTGTGGAGTCTAAACTAATGCCCATGTAAAATATACAGCCTTCGATTGAGGAAATTACTTGAAAAAGCCAAGCAAATGAAAAAAAAAAAAAAACAAACTACCAACCCAGAAGATCTTAAAGACCAGCCAAAAGGGAGCTTCACTAAATTGTGGAAATACTAAATGACAAGAAAAATGCTTTTCTAAATGATGAAAGCTTGTTATTTTGCACACTTACCTTTATCATTCAAGCTGAAACAGTCTTTAAGAGTGATTAAGTTCCAAGTTGCCTACTATTTAAAGCCAAGCTTCAATAAAAATCAATTCATTATTGAATCCTAGGCTTGTAGTAACATCATAAATATTGTTAACAGCCAAAAAGCTTTTAACACTTGCTTCATGAGTTGCATGCAACTAATGGGCAGCACAAGCAACATTGGTCTGTAGAGTGTGACTGTATTTGTGAACCTGTTGGTATTCTTGTCAGGTAATCTGTACAGCAGGCACATCCAGGTGGATGGAGAGATGTTGGCTATCCAAGTGCAAGATACTCCAGGAGTCCAGGTGAGCTAAATGCAACCATGCACTTTACGAGAGTAGCTCTGAAGGTTTGTGTGCTTACATCTCTCTGTGCAACATCTTGTTATGGTCTTTCTACAAAGTATTTTGCTGTCCATTTCAGAATTTGCTATTGTGCAGTGGAGAGGTGGTAACTTGTGTTTTAACCACTCAAGCCAGCTCTGTTGAGAGACTGAGAGACTGTTTCATTGAATCATTTGTCCAYTGGAGGCCCATTACTTTTGAGCGGCTGAATTACTGAAGTGTCTCATTCCTCTATATTGGAACATTAGGCACAAACCCAGAAACAATTCTGTGCCAATAAGGTATATGTTAAAAAAAATGTCGTGAGCACTGCCCAACAAGCTTCATAAATGAGTATGAGAGAAAGCGAAGTCTGCTGCATTGTGGCTGTACTCATTAGTGTGTCACAAGTCAAAGTTTTGAATGTATAGACCTGAGTAATGCTGGATTGTTGCCTTTTTGAACTGGGCAACACTCCAGGTCTAAATGCTTCCAGCTCATATCTTTGCTTCCCCAGACTTACTGTCTAGCCAGTTAATTTCCCATTCTGTGGAACTACAAAGTCTTTCTCTGCATGCAGAACTACTCAGGTCAATTTTCCATTTGAGTATAGCAAACTCCAGTGTTAAATTCCAGCTTTTTGCAGCTGAGTCAACATCTGCATTTATTCGCTATGCTCAGATTAAGTTCATACTTACTATGTGAAATCCAAATATRTGTCTGATGCTGTAAAATGCTATTTGGCTTTGCAGATTCTTGAAGACAGGTTCCTTTAATCTTTTATGACTTCAGCTATCTAATTTGAGACCCTTCATTTTTCAGATCCATGAACATAGTCTGGATTGTAATGAGCAGCTGAACAGATGCATTCGCTGGGCAGATGCCCTGGTGATTGTCTTCTCCATCACTGACTATAAGAGCTTTGAACTCCTCAGTCACCTTTACCATCAYGTTCGACAGCTGCATCCAGGGAACATGGTCCCTGTTGTCATTGTGGCAAACAAAGCTGATCTCTTGCACATCAAAGAGGTGGAGCCTCAGCAGGGACTTCAGCTGGCCAATATGCTGGGCTGTACTTTCTATGAAGTATCTGTCAGTGAAAACTATAACAACGTCTTCAATGCCTTCCATCTCCTCTGTAAAGATGTCAATAAACAGCAAATAACCAGCACCCCTGAGAGGAGGAGAACCTCTCTTATTCCACGGCCAAAATCACCCAACATGCAGGATCTGAAGAGAAGGTTTAAGCAAGCTTTGTCTGCCAAAGTGAGGACTGTCACTTCTGTTTGATAGCACAGCCCTGGTCTATGCAACCTTTAGCCTGAGATTGAAACCTGGGGTGTTTAATGCTGGCACATGTAGAATCCAAGGTATTGTGAAGGGATGGTTTGAGTAGCCTTTAGCATGGCAGAAATCTTTAAACAATTGCTTAAAAAAGGAACACTATCAGATTAGAAAAAGGAAAAAAAACCAAAAACCTCCTGCAAAATAGTTCTAGGATGTGACTTGAACAGGTATTTTCATTTGGAAAGGAAACTTTTCAGTAAATGAAACAATTTGCCTTTTTTTCCCAGTTGGGCGGATTTGGCTTTCATTTGTGCAGAAACAACCTTTTTGCTGTAACTCAACTTGAGCAGGGAAATGCCCTGAACTGCAGTCCCTGTTCAGAAGTAACCACTTGAGTTTTGTTCTCACGTGGATGAAGGACAATGATGCAATTTTATTGCACAATAGAATTGTTTTTTCTGTGTATTTCAAAACAAACAAGCAAACATGAAAAGGTTCTGTAAAAAAATAAGTGTAAAATAAGTGGACAGGACTGAGCATAAAGACTGTAAACAATAGTCCTTTACTTTTTACTAGCCATGTTATTGCTGACAACTTGACCAGACTCTTTGTATGTGAAGTTATTGTCCACAGGGTGTAAACATATCTAATTACAAACAACTCTTTTACTGTCTGAAAGAAGTACTCTCCAGACTGAATGATCTAACACAGAGCTTCTGAGTGTGGAGTTGGAGTGCATTACAGATGCCATTCTAAGACATCTTTTTCTCTCTCTCTCTCCTGTGTGCAGTAGCGCAAAAAGAACAAAAGGTGTGAAGTATAGCTGGCTCCAGGCAATGAAGCTGATGCCTTGTTCTGAGCTGAGCCAGACCTTCTTCGTTTTTAAACACATAGCAGATTTATATACTTTTTTTTTTTTTTTTTAATATTGAGCCAATGGAGTTCAGAGCCTAAGGGCCTTATACACATGCACTTTAAAAAGCCAGTCGTGCTTTTGTTTAAACTGTAACTTATTTATTTCGTGTACAGTTGCTCCTCCTAGGGAATGGACTTTTCATTCTCACAGCCTGGTACAACATTAAATTTTTGAATTGCATGTTTCCTCGAGTGTTCTTTGGGGATGAGTAACAAGGAGTAACAACCACTGAAATGTTGAGACAAAGTAATGGCTTGCTTAAGGTAGTTAACATATATTTGCAGTAACAGCAAGGTGTCCTTTCCTGCCTATGCCGTTGCTTTATTAGCATAAACCACAGCAGGGGAGCTCTCACAAMTGCTTTACAGCTTCCTTTTTAGAAATTCTTTTAGGAGAGGAACTGAATAAGGCAAAGACCTTTCAAATTAAAATAGGATTCTTCATTTCCACTTGTCAAAAATACTTTGGTATTCCTCACTAGGGAGAAAGGAATGGTGTGAAGTTGGTCAAAACCAGGAAGAACATGAATTCTAAGTGACTGCCACCTTCTTTAAAAGAAAAGMGAATCTTTATGTTTTAAGCTATATCACATTGCAAATCTTCARTTACCTTTTTCATGTTTAATGTAGCTTTACTAAGAGCCTTCCTGAGGAGAATATTTGTGCTGGGACTAGGCTGACGACCATACCCMTGGTTAGCACACAGCTGCAATAAATGGTGCAGGAAACTCTGACAGGGTCCTGCTGATGATAACCTTTTGGACCATGAGTTAGCAGCCAAGTGACTTAGGACTGGAGTTTCAAACAAAACTGAGCTTGCCCTTSCAGTCTGAGCTTGTACCAAATAGTGCTTAGCTTATTAATATAGAAGTAAACCAATTTCCCAAGGGTGGCTTTATGTTTTCTCTTCCTACCTTTTGAGTATTGCTTGGTGTTGCAGGCAGAGGAGTCAGACACTCCCTGATGTGGTCCTGCACCTGCCCATGCAAATCTCTTCTGTGCTGCTTCTACTCACTTGAAACTGGCAGGAAATTCCTCATCCCTCAACCTTTTCCTAAAGCACAGGTTCTGTGTAGCGGCAGCTATTCCCTACAAATAAGCTTACTATTGCACTAAGGCCTCTGGAAAGAGTCCACTGTCCTTTTGGTCTAGAAGTATTGAAGTAYGGGATGATGGCTGAGTTCCAGCATCAATTGCCACAGCTGTGGCCCCACTGGCTGAGACGATTCCTCCRAAGTGTGTGTGGGCCTGGAAAACGAGTCTCTGTCTCAGTCAGAGGAGSTACTTGACCCAGAGGAAGTGCACGATCAGCAGTGTCTGCTTAGACTCACCCTCTGCCTTTGCAATACAGTAGGTCTTGAGTTGGCCAAGCCTGAGACCTGAGAGCATTTGACAAAAGAGAGGTGAGGGAGTGGGACCACAACTGGMAGCTTCCACCACCTCAGCAAAGCAGCAGCATCTCAGAGCTGTGAGAACCTGAGCTCAGCAATGGCCACTGGACACAGGTGAGCCATTCTGCTAGGAGTGGAGGGTAGGAAATGTTCTAGGACACCTCCCAAGACAGGTCTGGATTCCTAGGGGCAATGAAATAATGCAAGAGGGATTGCAGGAGTACGCAGTTCTGGCATGTGTAGCTCTGCATACTAGCAGAAAAGGAGATGACAGATCAGGTTTGGCATTGTAAGAGCATTGATTTATTGATTAAAGAATTTACAAAACAACYATATTCTAAGAAAGATTGGACAGTACAGAATGACAGAAAAACCAAGAGACTGGCTACTTGCTTTCCAGTTGCTCTATTAAAACTATTCCTTGAGCTTTCAATATTGCAATCTCATAACATTTCTCATTCTTTTATAGCACAAAGTTCCATTCTATAGTCATTCTTATAAATTTCTCTTCAATAGAGGCGTCATTGTCCACGCCTTATAATCAGTCCATTGTTTCCTTCCAGCCACTCAAAAGGGAACTTAAACCAAAATTCACCCTTTTCTGAAGACCATTATAAACATTTAGGAGAACTAATGCTAGCTAGTGAACAAAATTAAAAAAACTACTTCCTATTTAATCTAATCCTTTGGCATAATAAAGAATGCTATGATAGAGTGAATGTCACTTAATTTTACATTCTCATCCCAGTGTGAGCTGTAGTTGTAGCATTACTCGGATGAAGCAAGAGGATGCAGCTTCAGCGCTCCACCATTTTATGTTGCAATTTGGAAATTTTGGTGCAATATGCAATTAAATTCTCTATTGGCTGCTGCTTTTCATCACAGATTGTAGCAAAGTTTTATAGAGAAAAATTATGTAACTGAATTTGATTGCAGCTTTTTCATGATCATAAATTAAAAATAAAAGCTGTTCTCCAATCATACTGTTCAGAAATCTAGCTCAAGAAAGAGTCTGCGCTGTGGCCTCTTGAAAATGGGATCATGCCCTTTTTTTTYCCCCCTTCTTTCCTTTTCTTTTTAAAATGCATGTGAGGGGAGGATTCTTTTGGGGTTATCAGCAAACCATTACAGCCCATATGGCCTCCTGCATAAATCTATAGAGAAGTGTGCCATAAGAAACAGTCTTTTCTTCTGGGACTCTGGGTGGAGAAACTAGAGCAGGAAATGGAAAGCTGAGAGAAAAGCAGCCATGTAACCCAGCCCTTAAACCTGGCTCTCTGCTTCCCTGCCTCCAAGAATCCTGCTGAAAGAGCATCGCCAGACTGGGAGCTGCTGTGCCAGCTAAATCAGGGCTGTGTTCCACGATCTCTCCAGAGTGAGGGACAAAGTAAGAGCAGAGCCTGTAAACATTGTGTAAGGCACACATTTTGCAAGGTAGCACGACAGAGGGTGGATTTTGCTAGCCTTTCACTCCCTCAGCAGCACTGCCCACCAGCCCCAAGCCCAGCAAAACCACCAGGAAGAAAGGTACTGCTTGGGGAGTGCAAACTGTGCATCACTTGGCCCTCAGCTGCTCCTATTCTAGGGAATTATTACAAACAATCACCCTCACCATGCTGAGTGAGGCTGGGAGTGATTCTCCAGTGCTATCATTAAAGAGGGGAGAACTGTGGGACAACTGGACCATTTTGAAGAGCTGCCCATAAGCTGCAGACATTCTCTTGCAGCCAGATACACAGCTGTTTCACCTGGAGCTGCAGCAGGTGAYATGTCAGTTTTTGGAGGGCTATTGAGAAGAGTGACAGACCAGGGATGTGATGTTTCCAGGCAAGGCATTCACTCATCTTCTCCATAGGCTCCCCCGTCAGATATCAGCGTCAGGCTGGAGACGGTCTGGGGCAAACAATAACTCAACAGCACTGTGTGGTGTCAGGAGTATGGAGGAGAGCACAATTACCTGAAAGGAGGGGAACAAGAAACAACAAGTCAAACTGAATGGGACTGAGACAGTTCTAATGAGCCATAGGTAATAACTGTTTGCTTTACCTAGCTCTAGACAGGCTGTCTGTTTCTGGTGTTTACTGACAGAAAAATACAAACTGTCCAGTGAAACTGTCTGCTCGCTAATAACTGTAGTKAAATCACTTTAAGGAGCATAATGACTGGTAGCATTGTATGCTTAATGAATGTGTGCTTTGACACATTTCTACCCACATCTCACCCGGTKATTTATTGTGATTGCCACTGCGTTTATTGTGAGGCACCAGCTGATGAAGCAGGTTTCCTCCCCTATAGCACAGACTTGAGTGATGCCCATTCCTCTCAGTTGAAGGTAAGGTAAGCATCACAGAAGTGCCTGCTGCAGAGAGCCAGACTCTCTTACCAGAAACGTCTCTTCAGACCATGCACAGGCTGTTCTGCACTCAAGCTCARCCTTCAGCACTGTCAATGCTATCGCTTTGCTTTCTTCCAGTTTTTAATCCCAGACAGGTCTGATGAATGAAAACAKCACTCACTACAACCACGATACACATCCTGCTAAGTGCAGGTATCTATTTTCTTGAAGTGGAAATCAGTATATAATTGCCTAGTGTGAAGGCTTCTCTGCAGGACAAAGCTATCAGACAGGAGTGTGTACACTCTTGCTGTGAGGAGCTAATCCAGGGTCAAAATCATAGGACACTGCTCTGACTGAGCCTCAGGTTTAGCAGTGTCYGTAGGGTCAGGACTGCAGGCAGGGATCTGGGGGCAGATTTAATCATATTAGCCCACTTGAAAATGAATTTGCTTCTTCAGCACAAAGCTAAGGAGAGGAAGCACAAACATCAACAACAGASTATGTCTGTGTGTTCGTCTACTGCAGCAGCTATCAAATGCCTTGTGCTGTCCATTACATGGCTTAAGTGTGTGGTAATGCTGCTTTTCAACTTTTTTTATTGCTCTTTCTTTCATCTTTTCACTTCAGATACTGAAAGGATGCCTTCTGTACTGGTGATACCCTCCCCCTCACTTCTCCTCATCCCTTGTCCTCCCACACAATCTCCAGCAAACTGACAATGAATATCTCTTCCTTCATAGGCTGAAAAACTCTGTAACTTGCAGATGCCAAAGGCTGACACTGTCTTACTTATGTTACATGAGAATCAGACTATAGCACAGTATGTGCTCATCTCGTTATCACGCAGCTTAACTCTGAAAAACACGAAGGGACATGTTACCAAAGTTTTTTGAGTCTACAAGCCAAACATCAACAATAGCCACTGACAGATAAAAGCAGTTTCTTCTTGGAGTCCTAACACTGAACCCTCAGGGAATTTGTGCAACTAATAGCAAGGCCAGAGTGAAAAATAAGATCTGCAACTTTAATGTCTCAGAAAAGATGCTGCCAAATACAGTAGAACCTCTTTCCCTCCAGTATCTCTGAGGGCTCATCGAGGGGGATAAATGTTTGTTCTTTCATTTGGTTTGTTCTTTCATTTTTACAGAAAAGAGGGGAATTGCCCAGACAAGTAATGCCCACCTCTTCTCCAGGCAGCTCTCTTCAGGACAGTCCTTTGCAGACCTTCTCCTGGTTCTGTACTCCATGCCTGTCTTACACCACGACTCTTTCACRCTTCACCTGAAATCAAGGTGGAAGAGCCAGGAGCTCCCATCCTGACCCACTGAGCTCCAATGGGAAGCTCCCCCCTGGCTGAAGGCAGGGAAGGATGCAGCAAACATCTAAAGGTGCATCTGAAAGGGTTTATCTGTCTGCCTGCCTAGGCCACAACCACATAGATCGTTGTGCATGTTGGGAGAAGGGAGGGGGAAACATTCTTTTATTCTCTTTCCTCTTTATTACTCTCCTGATTAAAGCAGAAAAAGAGAAGTAATTTCTTCCTTCAAAAATAGGATACTTCTCAGTAGTTATGGGGAGCTATTTACCACCATCCAAAACCAAATGGTGCACAGGAAACACTATATTCCTTTGTATGTTCCTTTGTTTCTATTCCATGAGAAATAAAATTGTCATTCATATTCAGATGCAGAGCAATTCTGTGGATGGAAACATGTGTCTCTTATTCCACATTTAAATGTCATTTGCCTCAACTCCAAACAGTTGCTGAAGTAATCAGTGTATCCTGTCAGTTTTTCTTCAGTTACTTTACTCAGTTTTTGTACATTTCTCTGTTTTTCCAAGTGCCAGTAATTAGTATAAATGTTAGTGCTTWGTTTAACTGGAAGGGACTTGGAAGGCCAGTGTTTCCCTGAAGCCTGAACCTGATTGCCTGAACAGCACAAAAAGGCTCTGTTAAATGCTGGCTTGAGTTAGACAAATGCCTGGCTTTTTGAAAAGAGAATAATCCTWAACAGGTGGTGCATATTCACAGCCATAGTGCAGAAATCCAGGTAAATCCAACAAACTTACAAACTTTTTTTTGGTGAGAGATTTGCAGAACTGCTTCATTTCTTCTTTCTCTTCCTCCTCCCACCTCTCCCCCAAAGTCCTTTCACCTCTAACACAGCACATTTGGATAAAGGGCAAGATGCAGTAAAAGCTTAAAATGCTTTAGGAATCTGCCTCAGAGGGTGACCTGCTGCCAGGGTTAAGCCAAAGCAAAGCAACACCAGATCCCATGKCACCACTGTCAAGCCTTAAGTCTCTCTAGAAAGCCAGCTGAAAATCTCCCTGCATAGTTCTCAACCAACTCAGATGTTAACCCTCTGTTTATCTTTCAGGGTGTCTTAATACATTTTGTGTGTGGATTAACTTGTCCATCAGTGTGTCACAACTCAATTCCCSTCCAAGAGGGAAAAGAATTTAATGTGCTGTTTTGAGGAGATTAGCAGTAGGCTAATGAGGAAGAGATGTGTTATCAGATCACAAAAAACACYGCTAAAAATGGTACTCCATCATACAAAATACTGCTTGAGACTGCCTTGCAAAGAAAATTGAAACATGGAAAACATGTCAAATTGAGGGACTGCCCTGCCTTTGGTTGGCTCCACTTTGCTAATGATTTCTCACTAATCAAAATCACATTCCATAGGAAYGGAAAACAAGATATTTACAAGCCACCCTGGAAACTATAGTGATGTTTATGGTGCAGCTGTTCACACAGCACTTTAGAGTTTTTGTATTACCCTCTATACCTGTRGTACTCAAGAGACACCTGATTGGTCCTCCACAATTCATGATGATTCTTAACATCTCAGGTGCCACCAGGGCTCACCCAYCCTCCTCGTCTCTCTACCTTCTTCACTCAGATGAGAGAATGGATGAGGCAAAGACCAGCCACATGGACATTAMTGAAGCTACACTGTGGGAGCCATCCTCCTTCCAGGAGTCCAGCAGCACATTCAGGGGATGCAGAGACCTGAGGCTTTCTTCAGATCACCTGCTGCAGGATATTTAAGGAACAGTACAGCTGTATCCCAGTTAATTAATTTTGTTCCTCACCAATGCTAATTGGGGTGCCTGCASGATTACCACTGAAGAGTCACTAGGTGGTATCCAGACTCCTTCCCTGCACTACATCCCATAGATGGACTGCCAGGGAGYCTGTAGCCTTTTGGACAGCAAATGTTTCTGTTTATAAAGAATACRAAGAAACTAATCTTTTGAGACATGATGAAAGCTCCTTCAAATTAATGCCAGTCCATTCTAAGCCCTCCAACCCGAGTTTGAACTTTTGTTGCTGACTATAACATGTGAAAAAACAGACCCTTGGTGCCTGAATATTTGTTGCCTACAGATGTTTTACAGCAAAATCCTTACATCATTTTCATCCATGTGGCTGCGGCTTTCTGTAGGTTTGGTACCAGTGCTATAGGGAACACTATTTGATGAATTTTCTTAGTTTTTGTTTGGATAGGAACTGCATATTTAGAGCTGTTTTTTTACCTGGGTACCAGGTTTGCGTGTTGCTACCAAATCCTTCACCATTTTGACCTCGGAGACAGTCACTCCACCAACCATAAAGATGATCAGAAGAGGATGATCACCAGGGTGAGGGCGATTCACCTGTAAAATGAAAGAAAGTATTATTTGTACTTGCTTCATCCATGGATAACAGGGATCAGCTCCCTGAGTTGCTAGAGAAAGACCAAAGAGGAAGCTCAGGAAGAAATATTCATGGAATGTTGGTTTCTGTAGCAGCTGAGAAGCAGATCAATGGGGATGGTGCCCAGTTAGAACTAATTACCTATTTCCAGGGAAATAAAGTCTCCACAGACTCCACTGAAACCTAGGGGAGCTTCTCCTGAAGTTTCAGGGTTTCTCCCTCCATTCCCTCTTCATTACTTTCTGCCCTTTCCCAGAGAAGGTGGAGAGTACTTGGGTGGACGTTTACTTTGGATACACATACACGTAAGACTTTATAAAGAATGAGGGGTAAATTACTACCTAGTAGAAGAAGGGGTCCAGCCTAAACATGCTAGAATCCATGCCTGAGGTCAACATGGAAAAGAATTTTATGCAATGTGYTTTCACCAGTGTAGTGAATAATCTTTTACCATTCATCCAATAAAAATAAATCAGGTCCATTATAGTATAAAATCCATTTCTAGCTTGTTTGAATTCAGGGTTTTCAATGCCTCTATGACAGCCTTGTAACTAATATAGAGAAACTTTAGCACAAAGAAATACTTGTTTAATTTTTCTCCAATTGTCTTTAAAATGGCACAAATATCCCACTTCAGTTAAGACTTCATGGAACTGCATTTAATTTTAAAAATGAAGGTGATGCTTTACATCAGTTTCCTCTTAGCCACTTCTAGAAGTTTGATGACTTTGCTGTTTCCTAGCAAACAATTTCCTTCTTGAGAAAACATACTCCCCTGACACTGCCTTGATCCAGTCTTWGGGAATGATGTCAACAGAGCCCATRCAATTGCTCTTGTCACATCACCCTGCAGTATGAAACACTCCAAATGTTTGGCTCTGAGAAGTGACAAAACAGTTTAATTCTTTTTTAGACTCTCCRCCTCCTTTCCTTGCATGAGCGTGGGCTTTTAAAAGCATTCACTCGACAGAATGAAAGTGGTGTCAACCCGTGCTTGGGCAGAGCAGGGTTCCTTTGCTTTCCCCACTACAGCAGCTTTCTTTCTTTGATCCTTGTGGCTCCAGCTTCTGAGGRTACAGCTCTGCTTCTTTTCCTTATTGTGGCTTTCCTATATTTAGTCTTTTGGCACTTTTTCATCCTGCAGGTCTGTCAGGCTTTCTGCCTGGTAACATTCAGTGAGGACTCTTCCCTTTGAAGCCAGCACAGGGAGRTGGCATGTTCTCTCTCCAGGCTGGCTGGCTTTGAGTACATGTGGCTCCCTGCTCAATGCTGCTCCCCAGGCAAGGAGTTCTTGAATTCCTGGGGGCTTGAAACTAGTCCAAAAGCCCTCCGAGAGATGTATGAGAGAGCTGAGTATTTGCATACTGGATATTTATTCTCTTACTCCACCCCGCTTTGCTGGCCACATTCATTGAGCTGATGGCACAGACACATTTATACTGCAATTCCAGGGCACTGTAAAAGGCTTGCCAGGAAAAGGGCCACAGCACCACACCTGTCTGGATAATACTCTTTGGGCTCATGGTGTGATACTTGGGAATGAAGTTATGCAAGGCCAAAGCTGGAAYTGATGATCCTTGTGGGTTCCTTCCAACTCAGAATATTCCGTGATTCTGTGATTCTTAATATCTTTCCTAGTGACAAGAAACTCATAACAAACATGCATGCAGAACATTGGGCACACCAAAAGGACACCCTGTATAAGAACAAGAAAACGCAAGCTTTCAGGGTAATGCTAAAGAGAAAATGTCTTGACAAATCATTTCCTTCAGTCAAAATAAACCTAGATCCAAACACATGGTGCCTATATAAAACTTACTACTTTTCAGAAGACTAAAGTTCAAACCACAAATTCCAGAAATGCGTATTAAAAATACTATTAGGCATGCAAACTCTAAATTAAATTAAAACAGAAATGAAAAGGGTCTTGGAATCTGTAATTTTGTTATGCTATGCATAAGTGTTTTGAAGGAGGACAATACTTTGGGTACAAAATATTTGGCTGTGTTAAGAATGCAAGTTTCTGCCAATTTTTTTTTTGTTTTGTTTGATAATACAACCAGCCAAGACTAACCCTTTTGAAGGATCTGGCTGCATGTAGCTAAATACAACTCATTTTAGTGATATGGAAGAAGAACTGAAATGGATTGTAACAAAAACARCTTGTATCTTCTGGGATCCTTCTACAGTTCAGTGTATTTGGGACATTCCTAAGGCCTCTGAATTTACTGTGAAATTTGAATTTTGCAAAAATCACCGAGTGAAATTCACTTTCAATTCAAAATGCCATACATTAAAAAAAAATTCAGAGAGCTATCTCAGGCAATTAGAAAGTTTAACCAAGAAACCCTCAGTACCATTATGTTCAAGTGAAAGAGCCCAAAGGAAGGGGTGATGGTGCCCTGAGCCAGCAGTGTCCCAGTAGGATATCAGGGCCTTCTCTCCAGCTCTGAGCTCCCCATACTGGGTACGCTCAGGATGCTGGTGGTCAGAGGGCTCTTTGCTGGTGCACGTGTCTGTGCAGAGGAGAGAGAGAGGAGCAGGTGGGAAAAGAGGGTGGCACTGGTCAATAAAACTCTAWAACTGAAACAGAAAGGCCTTGGAGGACAGGTTTGTTCTCATGACTCACGGCAGCTSACAAAACACAACTTTTTTCTCTAAGGAAAGTCAGCAGAAACAATCTTTATTGTTCTATGAGGGATAACTCACCCAGCAAGGATAGCAGCACAGATAATTCTAGTATTTGTGACCAACCAGAAACCAATTAACCAGCAGAATAACTGGAAAAAGGAAAAGATGCCAATCCCCTGAAACTTGGCTGCTGTGCAGGGCACTTGGTATCAGTGATAGTGAGCTTAGATCATCATAAACACATGGTGTCTAGAGGCAGCAGTCAAAACARGAGTCCTTGAGGTAGGGAGGCCTTTTCCCTGCACCATCCCTTAGCTTCAAAACAAATACATCTGCCCGACAAACAACTTCTGGATGAGAGATATCTTTAGAAGTCTGGCCTGAATTAACACACCTGAGGCAATCACCAAAGTRTTTTTATGTGAGTTGGCATCTGTATTAGGGCATTGAGAAAGAAACAAAAATAAGGAAATTCACAAAATAATTACTGTGCTGATGGTGTGATTGTGTCAGAAATACAGGCTGGTCAGAAGCACATTCACACAACAATTGAGACATGACAGGCAGGAAGCCAGACTACAGACAAAAGCAACAAGCATGGACTTGTATTTGTGAGGTACGGGATGATATCTATAAAATATTCATCCTACACAAAGTTCACTTGCTCATCTCTTAAATACTCCTTATAGTAGGATATTTGTCTCACCAGGAGAGATGCACTTACAGGTACATATTGCCATAATATACTTACATCTCTCTCTCTCTCACACACACACACACASRCTATTAATAAGGATAGAATGGTCCTCAAACTAGTTAAAGGTGAAATTGCTTCCATCTAACCATTTAGGCCTTCTGAAGTCCTTATATTCTTGTTTTCTTTTTTTTTTCTTTTTAAGGACAATATTTATATTCCTGCTTAAAAAATCTGCAATAAGCAAATACAACAAAATCAGTACAATTGTGAGAACTACTGGCAAATGAAACCAATCATTAAAAAAATTACTTGGGTGCACCAGCTCAGTTACATTSTTTGATGGTGAAACCTGGTTTTAATTCTACCATTTTTGGAGCATTGGCATAAATTTTTAAGTTCTGACACAAGATTGGATATATATCGGGTCACATWTTCTATAGCTATCCTCCTCTGTCTTGGGGCTTTATCATTAGCTGTGAAGAGTTGAGAATTTCAATTCTGGAACCTAACTAAATATATTTTGGAAATCCATTTCAACAGTGGAAAGAGATTCCTGAAAACAAACACTGGAGTGTATGCTTATTTGCTTTTGTGCTCTAGCTTTCTTTGAAATAACAGAAAAATAACTGTTATTTAGATAGTGGGTACTAGAATAGTACCAACACAACAGTCAAAACAATTTTTGTCATCTGACTTTAAATGCAGTCTAGCAGAAATTTGCATAAAAGAGAAAAGCTTTTTCTCATTACTATTACCTTAGAATCACAGAATCAAGTTGGAAGGAATCTTTGTARCTCATCTAGTTCACCCCCCTGCCCAGAGCAGGGTCAATTTTAAAATTATATCAGGTTGCTCAGGGCTTTATTTGGCCAACCTTTGAATATCTCAGAGATGGAGAATTCTCTGGAATTAACCATTCTTACAATTAGTATTTTTTCCTTATATTCAACTGGAATTTCCTTCGCTCTAACTTGTGTTCACTCACACYGTTTGCTGATGTCTCTTCCATGCTGAGGGTTGGTGGTGGTAAAACTGAAAGAACAACATGAGACACAGTACTAAAATGTACTGTACTCATAACCACAGTATTGATGTGGTTTGATGTAAATTTGGGGTTGTTTTGAACGGAGAATTCAGGATATCCAGTAAAACAAGGCAGAAGCTACAATATGCTGGCTACTACACACGTCAACTCTGTAATTATTTAGCAGACACTTAGCAGACTTAATTTGTAAAGCAGACTAAATTCTTGTACAGTGACTGTCTCAAAACACGCTAAGAGCTTTCACAAGGTAATTTCTAACTAATAGGATTCCTTCCTCTCCAGTACAAGTTGAACCATATCAAGTTACAGAAAAGGTATTGAATTYGGAGCTCCTCCTTCATCCCCTGTGAGACCAGATTGTTCATACTTCTCTCCTATCTCAAGGCTGCTGGGTGTCCTTAAAGTCCTTTGATGAGGTGTCATGTGGAATGCCTTTTGGAAATGCAGGTGGCTAATATGAACTGGCACTCACTTATCAGTTTGCTTGTTGGGTGTCTCTGAAGAGCTCAAAAAGCTAGGTGAGTTAGGACTTCCCTTTAGCAAAGCCACATTGCCTCTTCCCAGAAATATCATCCTTATTTTGGTGCCCACCACTGCACTTATTTAGATGTTCATTCCTTTTTTTTGTTCAGCAGGTGCTACCTGTCTGCACTGTACCTGCAGTGTTGTTCTTCAAGCTATTTCCAGCCCCGCTGCAAGGACTTAACCCTCCTGACCTCCCCTTAAGTTTGACTGAGCAGTATTAATTCAAATACATAAAATCTGCATGATGCTCTGACCTCAGGAAAATCTTACAGATGAGCTTGGGAAGGTTGRTTACCTTCATGAACATGCTGAATCCAGTTTTAAGGAGATCAGTGAGGCCTGATGACATATGCTCAATATCAACAGGATCAGGCCGATCAGGATTACAGATCTCTTCCACCACCTGTTTCAGCAGAGGTTTGTAAGAAGCCTGCACAAAAAGAACAACGCGTCATGAGTAAACCTGTTCAATCTTAGTGCAACCACGATTCTAAATATTTTATTTTTTTGTAAAAGGTTACAAAAATAATTATCCCAAAAATGAAAGCATTCAGAGAGTTTGTGACCTTGACTGCAGATGCTGTGCACCAGCACAACGTAGAACAGAAAAGACTGCAAGAGAGTCACACCTTTACTCTGCCCCATGTGTTGTATCATTAAAGAGAGACAAGCAAGAAAGGGAGGACCTTTACTTTCACTGCAATCTTTTTGGAGGTAGCACAGAAATGGATAACCATAGGSATGAGACTCTGCTGCCCATTTTGCACCCAGATCTCACTCCCTTTTTAATGATTTTACAAACACCTAAACTGGGATTTTWAAAAAAATTGACCACTTCTGCCTTCTACCAAGTGTCACGTCCCCACTGAAGTCTGRACATCAGCAGGGCAGGGAGGTGGCCAACCTGCCTATTTGTCCCTCATGGGAGAGCAGAACGAAGGAGTCCCTGTTAGTCAATCCCTGCCAGCTTCCATGGCCATGGCACTCCACATAGTACTTCCACCTGTGGAAGACTCAAAAATCAGGCCAAACAACTCCACCATTACCATGAATGCCRGAGCCTCAGAGGAGTTAGTGACTAGGAAAAATGGAAAATGCAAAGATACAAATGGTCAGCATGCTCGAAGRTCTACTCCCAAAGGATCAACCTTATATACTCTTCAGGGTCCACAACCTGTGCTGAATATGAATGAGTGGCCTAATATTTCCACATTTGCACACCAAGATTTAAACCACTCTATTATCCTGAAAAAAATATTAAGATAAAACTTTCAGGGACTTAYGGAAAGATGCTCTTTGATGAAAATTCAAGCTTACTTGGTTTACARATGGAGCTTTGTTTTACTGCTTTAAATTTTGCCCAAACTGTAATGGAACTATAATCATTTCAGTAAGTGCAACCGTCTTAGAAAATGAGCAGCTTTCAAATTAGCACATTTATTTTCCTTTGGGACTACCCCAGGTATATATCATCCCCTAGATTTCTTAGGGCAATCAAATGTGATGTCATTAATTCTGTAAAGATGATATCTACAAGAGACATCTTGCAAGATAATAGTAAAAATGGATGGAAAATAAAAYACAAGCTGCTTGGCTTGAAACTAAAATTTTCTGGAGTCATTAAAGAAATGTTTTTCATCCAACACTTAAGAGTGARAAACAAAGTTTACAGTTTTTGAATACAATTCTGTCAACAAAGATTTATACAACTAATCTAGTTCTTCTCACAACATGTGCATAATTTTTAGTTGCGCCAACAAAGCAAATTACAGCAGACATAAGCTGCAGGATCTTTTAGAACATGTCAAGATTTCTGTCAAATCTAGTCACGCAATAAACAACTGTTTGAAAATACACAAGCAGGCATGAAGCCCTTCTTATAAAAATCTGTTTAATATCTTCATAGAYGAGGAACAGAAAAGCATTAGGAATGAAATATTTTTGGAGCAGAGATCAAATCACAGTTTAACAGAGAGGCTTATTCCATGAAATTAAAGGAAAAATATAATCGGACTTTAGACAAAACTATGTACTCAAAAAGATGTTAAAAATATGCTATGGTTGCACTTGTCTGAATTTTCAGCACCAAAACTCAGTGCCCTTCAAAACAATCCAGTTAGACTATGCAGATACTAAAATACAGAGAGTACRATCACTTACCTTTTTTAACTATAATGGTTTCAAATATTTTAAAAATGTCTTGTGACTTGAAATTATCTATTAAATTTTCAGGTTTTTTTTTTGTACAACCCCCAACAGCTGCATTGGTTTCTATCTCATATAATGGAACTTTTACCAAGTTTAAATTTTGGCAGGCACAAATTGTGTTTAAAATTGCTGTTAAAAACCTCAATAGCTATTGAACACATCCTACACAAGATTATAAAGGAGAGAAGAGAGAGAAGAAGAGAAAGAGAGAGAATGAGAAAAGAAGAGTGAAGGATGGAAGAAGGAATGGAGAAAGGGATGGAGGAAGGGAAGGAGGGAGAAATATACTTAGATCAAGATGTAAGTAGTTTCAAGAACAGGTAAAATAAATACTCTATTCTTGCACAGTCACTACATGAATTGGTTTGAAAACCTGATGAAAACATCTATYGTTTTATGTAAGACATACAAATTACAATGCTACCAAAATTCCTTCTAAGAGGCTATCCAGGGCCCACTTACTTATCCACAGAAACCTTTTCATGAGTCTTAAGAAGARGTGGATACTGACCAGCTTTTAACAGAAAAGTGAAAAAGTATGTGCAGGCTAAACCCATTSCCAAGGCACTAAGCAGGTTTGGGGATGAGTATGGTCACAGGACAGGCACAACTTCTGAGGAGCTAAACTGAGCACACACAACACCTGCCAGTCAAACGAGAGAGCCGTTTCTAGAGAGCTGTCAGTATCATGGGCAACAACACTCTGTCTGCTTATTTCTTCCATTATAAATCTCCTGGACTTCCCTCAGCAGGTTTGTCCTACTCAAGCAACTAGATCCACTGCATGGCTACATTAAGGGGCTGCAAGGTGTTAATATATTCCTTGCTGTGTTCCAACCCTAAGCAAGCAAACTGGATTACATACAAAGAACATATTGATGCTAATTACACTTCCTGGAAACTTTTCTTATAATCTCACTGCTCCTGCACTGAACTGCATTAAATGGTCCTACCTGCTAGGAGAYTTCAGGGACAGGTTTTCTTCACCTCAGATCTCCAGTGACATTTTGCAATGCCCATGACTCACATTCTTASAAAGCAATGCTTAATTTGAACTACATCCCTTTGCTGACCTACAGCACTGTTAGGAGTTTGGAAGGACTTTTTTCTGGCTCAAGGTTAGAATCAAGTTTTATGGTCTCTCTCTAMACCACTGCTTTCTGTTGTAAAACTCTGTTTTTAACTGGAAAAGGTAAAACTCTTCAGGGAAGACAGAGAGAAACAAAATCATTGACTGTTAGTCCTGATGACCTGAAGTAGTATCACAGATCATGTGCTCCTGCTTTAGAAACAGAAGCTGCATTTGTCACCTATTTACAAACAGGTTTGTCTCTCACACTTACATTCTGTGTTGACATTGACACACATATGCCTGAGTTTGGACGAAGGAAGTTCTTGATGATTATGTCAATTATAAAATCTACACTTGAGTACCTTCTGCATGGGCAGAATGTGCATAGGATTAGCACATCAACAAAATTAGTGCTGTAATTTTGACAGCATGATAGAGAAATAACAAACACAGGGAAAAAAAAAGCTACACTTGCCTGGTGGGTGTTGCTGCCCGGATTATGTATGGAATTAAACTGTTTCATGTGCATTCGGACTCTGGTAATATCCCTGAGGGACCGAAAGAYACCGTCCATTGCATCTGTGGCTTTCTGAGATGACAGCTTCAGTGACGAGTCAAAGCCTAAAGAAATAAAGAAACATGCAGCTGAGTGAGTGAAAAATTTTCACAKGTTTTGATAATAAACAGTAGGAAAAGGATAATTGGGACGAAATTTTAAATTAATTTCATCATGTCATATTCTAGAAACTCAGGGACTTATTTGACAGCACGTCCTCAGCATGGCATGAGTCTCTGCAGCTAAGCAAGAAKGAAAAAAATCCTGACAGCAGGCAAAGTGAAGAGCATCTCTCTGTTACTTGCAACCTCAATCACACAGCACTTTCATTGGCACAGAGTACATTTTGCTCTCCACAGCAAGCAGAAGGTCCTGTGCTAGCAGACCCCAAAGAAGAGYCCCCCATTAGGTGAAAAGGAGCCAGCTGGTTTGCTGGTCTCCTTGGGTAAACAGCCATGAAGGAGGGAACTGCTCCTCCCTGGCTGGCAGACTGCTGACTCCAAATACACTTTCTACCTCAGTGACAAGAAAAATGGAAGTTTGTGCTAAATACAGCAGAAAAGACAGCTAAGTGTTGGAAGGAACTGCATTATAAAAATGTTCTTATCATTCAAAGTGGCACTGCTATTACTTCCCATGCATTTTTCCAAAGCACTTCTGCTAAGGTATAATGCTCATCTTCCACTGAGGCCCAACTCCAATTACAGGAYCACAAGATCCCTCCAGGTGGCCAAGCAGTGCCTTGGAAAAGAGAAATTCATAGTCTTGGCTCCATCCCCCTCACAACAGGACCAAAATTGCACAGAAGTATTGAAAAAAAAAATGCTTTTTCAGCTCAGCTGCTGCTCAGAATTAGCCAAGTGAGGGAAGTGGGTCACCTGGTATTTTTCTTGCCTTGTCAAGACATCTCTACTCCTTTTGACATCTCTGCCTACCTCTCTTCTTGCTTGACTGTTCATCCCTGTGGCAGAAGATCCATCACAAAATAACCCTTCTTGCCACACGCTCACACCAACACATCACTSCTGCTCATTGCTATTGTCTTCCCCAGGGATGCTGCTGTAGTGGCTTCTGTGTCCATCCTCCAGCTCTGYAACCAATCCTGCACAGCAAACCTCTATGTCTGTGCAGAATCYCACTGAGAGAACAGGGTTTCCCTGCAGGTGCAGCTTGCTGTGCCCGTGGAGCCTGGTGCTGAAAACAGGCATCCAAACTGTCAGRAGACTATGTGGATTTTTGGGTAGGAGAACCCTGAATAAATTTTCCTCTACCAACTGACAAAGGACAGAATCTTTATGCACTDAAGAAACAAGGTGGTACTTTCAAAATGTACAGGGAAATTTGGACAGCTAAACTGGATCACTTTCAAACCTTTGAATTTTGTACAATAAAATATGTACATAATTTATTATAGTTATCATATATTTGTAATATATATATAATATAAATGCTTACACATACATACAGAGTTCTGAAACTATTCCTACAAAATGATGATTAGACACTGAGCTTTCATTTGTCTGAATATTGTTTGTTGAAAGGCTTCAAGTTGSATCCCCAGCTGGTGCAGCAGAACAGATAAAATGACTGCTGCAGGGCTACATCAAACCAAGCTGCTGAGCATTTATGCCATCATACCCCACAAAGCAATGAGGCGAGCACAAACTGGACCTCAGTGACAGTTATAATTCTGAGGCAGACACTCATATATTTTTGGGCAGGCTCTTGAAATTGCTAATTTTTTTCTTTAATGAGTACAAAATAACTTACAGGAATATTTTTGTTGTAATGCTGCATGCTCTGATTGACAAAAATTCATTTAAAACAAGCTTGATACTTCTCATTTCTGGTACTGCAGTGCAGTTTCCAGCAAAGATRGTCTGTCTTTGCAGCTGGAAGTTCCTGAAATGCTCCTCACCTTGCCTGGCTCAGCACATCCCACTTTGCTTCTTGTTACTGGGTCAATCTTCTCTTGAGCAATTTCTTGGTGAACTGTAGCAACACCAATGTAACATCACTCCTCACTTGAACCTTATTGCCAAGGAAATGCTGTCTGGAGCTTGGGCTTTCCCTTACAGCTTGTGCTGGCACACTCATGGGGTGGAGGGGRCTGGAGTAGGTCATGAAATCTCTCACCTTCACCATCTGTTTCACAGCCCACACTGTTCCATGAACCAACACAAGAGGTGTGCGAGCCATGGTGTGTGCTGGGCTGTGTTCAGCTGTGCCTTCTGGCAAAGCAGTGCATATCTTGAGGAACACTGGCCCAATGTCTCCAGTCYCCACATCAGACTGCTGTGCTGGGCCCAGTTTGGGACCCTGGGATGACACTGGGAGTTGAAAATCCAGTCTGGCTGTTTATGGCTGGCCAGACAGAGGCAAAAGAGGTGTATTTTCAAAGTTTCTCTAAAATGTGACTTTCTTGRGATGTCTATTTCCAGCCTGACGTCTAGTTCTTCTTTTTTGAAATGTAAATGAAAAAAAGTTTTCTTTACAATTGCTTATTGCTGAAATTCTGAAAATCTCTGAAAGGTGCTGTCTATCTGTTGCACTGCAGCTGCGTTAGAGAGGGGAGCCAGGTTTCCTTCCAGCCTGGAGAACAACAGAAGCTTGTTCTTTACAAGTGGCAGGCAGCTACAAATCACCTCCYATTCACACCTTTCCTGTGAACGGGGCTCTGCAGCATATGGAGAGCAGAACACAATCCCCCTTCTCTGCTCACTTCATGCTACCAAGAAATCTGCAACTTTTACAACAGCCAAGAGGTGGAATACATTAGCTGCTGCACAGCCCATGTACTAATTAAAACAACACTTCCTGTTACTGTTTTTTCTTGGGAAGTTAAATGTCATTCAGAGAGCATGCTGCATGAGTTTCTTTAAATCCCAAGCCCTATTATATATGGGGAAAGGCATTTAAAGAAAATTCGGGTATTTCCTGTTGGAATTAAGGAAGCCCAGTTGTGAGAAAAAGAAAATCGCCACTAACCTGCAGAGGACTAAAAAGACCCTAAAGAAGAACACAACCTAGCTCTGTGGGAAGTGATGCCCAGCCTCACCGATACTGCTTCTGCTCTTCTCCTATCCACTTGTGCTGAATTTGAGGAAAATGAGACTATAGGAGTTGCATTCAGTGCAGCTCATATAATAATCTCATTTTACCAGGATGAGATTACTGGCCCTTATTTTTGACCTACTTTTGATCTTTTTCATCTCCTCTCAAACTACACATCTACATAACCATTAGTGCCACAACTAATCCATTTTCACAAGAAATTTGAAAAAAGGAGAATGAACAGATGCTCTTCTCTACAGTACCAAGTGACACAGGAACCAAACAGGACTAGTTTTTCTACTGATTTCTGAAACTGGAAAGAAAATGCTTTAAGGAAAGGACATGGGCATTGTGAACTCAGGAGATGTGTTATTATAGAGCAGGATGTGATTGATTATCCTCCTTCTACCCCCAAAAATGTAGCAAATGAGAATTTCAGACCTGAGTTTCAKAATACCTTTCATGTGCTCAATCCTTTTTTGTGCATGATAAAGGCATTATAAATAAATATGCTCGTTCTCTAAAGCATCATGATAATTATCAACATTTTGTGAAGGACTTRGTTAATTCTGAGATATCACTAGGCCTAAGGTTCTTACAAAGTTAAAGGTTTAGGAAAGCTGAAAGTTTACCACTCCACTCTGTTTTACTGGTACTAACTTCAGCTCTCTCCATCTTATGCTCTCTCTACAGMCCAGTTACAGAAATAAATGAATGCAAACTCTGCAAACCCTGAAACAGAGCCAATAGAGTAACCAACCTGTTTTAGAGGCACACATCAAATCATGGGCTAAACCAGAAAACTTGCACTTTGAGGAAGAGAAAATCCAGCATCARGATTTCATTATGCAGGATTTCATTATTTTCTAGATATGCAGAGTTAATTGTGCTTCTCAGCAAAAGATAGAGGAAGAAGACAGATAAAGGGCTCCTTGAGGGTCAAAACTCAAAATGCAGCACTATGATATTAAATTAATAAAAATCTTCTATTTTTACAGTTCAKATAGCATAGCAATGGGGGCCCTTCTTTTTCKATCAGATAAATCTAAGAATATATAKGTATACCCAGAGCCATGTGTTTTATAATAGTTTTGATATATTTATGCATTAAGATTTTTTTATGAAGAAGTAGATAGGAATGTGTACAGTGACACAGACCATTGCTGGTTTTTGCAGTGGGAAAAAAAAAGTGTAAGACCCAAAACCAGGATGTAATTTGCATGATTATCCTGTCATTTTTCTTCCCTACAGATTCTGCCATGCATTTGAATCTTTATTCTTGAATCCAATTTGTACTAAAAATGCTCTCTGATGCATTTATAAAGGGAAGCTCCTAAGCAAGTGTGACACTGTGGACAAGGAAGGACAGGCCAGAGTACAAGACAKCTGCCATTTGCCTACAGTTACATCAGAGAAGGTGAAAAATCATAACTGAGTCCATTTTAGTTCAGGGCATTTCAGAAGAAAGCTGTGTTCTACAACCCTTGAGAAGAGAGTGTCCAGAGGGGACAGGGCCTGTGACAGCTTCTCTGCAGCACATTCAACCCTGGGGCTGGAGAGGGCTCTGCTCTGTGCTCATTCTGTCCTCAGCATTCCCAGCCAGAGCATGCGTGGTGCTGGATGGGCAGCTATGTCTGTGCTGCTGGTAGTTCACAGTATAAGCAAAATGACATGACCATTTTGCTGAAGCACTGGCAAAGCAGTGTGTTGGTGCTGCTGGCAGGGAGGGGAAGGRGCTCAGCAGCTGGGGAAGGGCAGGCACAGACAGACAGTGATATCCTATCCCTATCCACAGCCTTGGGATGCTCTTTTCCCATCTCCTACCAGCAACTAGAGCAGATTTCTAAGCTGTCATCTCACTTCAATCCCTTTTCTCACCCTCCCTCTTCCCTCTGCCTTCTGGGATGGCTCCTTGCCTCAGTCATGCACCAGCCCTTTTGGCTTTGGGAAGCTGAACTTGGCTACAAAACTGCTCCAGCCCCATGAAGGGCAAGTTATTTCTGCACCAGAA